ATTTCAAGGTTGAAATTTTATATTTTTTTTATTCACTAATTTAATTTGTTTTAGTAAATTTTGAACAATTCGTACATTATTGTGATGAAAAATTGGATTATATTCCATTAAATTTTATGCTTGGCTTTTTTGTTACAATCGTTTTATCTAGATGGAACAATTTTTTCGTAAATATTGGTTACATTGATAAGTTGGTTTTTTTTTTGTTAATCGAAATACCAAAAAAAGAGAAACGAAGTTTTGCCATAAAAGTAATTATTCTAGAATTGAGAAAAAAAAAGTAGTAATTAATTATATTTGATTTGATTAAATATATTACTTTATAGTATAGCTTTAATGGTAGCAGCTTATGTGAAAGGTACGGATGATCGGGCACGAATGTTACGCCGAAATATCATCCGGTATTGCGTACTATCGCAAGCACTTGTTTTCCGTGATATTAGTATGCGAGTACGGAAACGATTTCCAACTGTTGAAGCGCTGGTTGCTGCTGGTATAGTTTTTTGTTAAATCCGATTAAGTGATCAAAATTTAGTATAATTGCTAAAATATGCGATTAAATGTGTTAAATGCATTTTTCAAAAATTTCATAATATATTTAATTTATATTTCAAAGTTTAATATTACTTAATTACGTAATATTTAAACGTTTTTAGATGATATCTATTGCAAAATCGCAAATGCAAAATTAAAATGCAACAAAATCTAATTGTTTTTTGAAATTAAGTTTAACAAAATTTTGAAAAGAATTAGTAAAATTTTGAAAATAATAGGTTTTATGATGAAACACGAAAAGGAAAAATATGATGCAATCCAGTATCGTTATGCTAAATATTGGATGCCATTCCAATGGGCATTGTCACTTTGTCAGGAAGCACGGAATCAGCAAAAAATTTCCAGTGATATTTTGCTTGAAAAAGTTGGTGAAGTAAGTGATTCCATTTTATCTCATCTAAATGAAGTGATTCGATTTTATTAGAATGAAATAATTTCGTTTTATCTAAATGATTTTCAACAATTTATCAATAAATCATCCATTCAGGTCACAAATTTATAGTGCTTAATTACTTTTTAAAATATGTAATTTTTATGATGGAAATAACCATAAATTTGGTTTTTCCAAAAAAAAAAATTTCAGCAACAAATTTCGATATCTAATTTTTAATTAAATTATCAATTACTTCATTTAATTATTTTAACAAATATATATGTAACTGATATATTATCATATCTTCCATGAAATTTTGCATTATTTTTCTTTGCGCTGATTGGATATCAGATTTTGGTAGTAGAAAGATCCTTTTTTTTTTTATTTTAATTAAAATTTACTCCCAATTTTTGCAAATTAATTTGTGCTACACATGAAAATCATTCTTTTAAATTCATCAATATGCGCAAATGTTATTTAATTTTGTGCAAATGTCATTTAATTATCATCATAAGTTTGAGCATTGTAAAAGGACATTTATTGCACTAAGAATGTCATAAAGAACAGGAAAATATCAATGAATGAATGTTTGCTGCTATTAAAATGTATACAGTTTTGAAATTTTCATAAATAAATCAATTTAAAAAAAACAATTTTGAATTAATTTTTTATTAATTTTAATTATTATTTACAGGAAATTAAAATATTTCGTACAAATTTAGCAATTTTATGCAATTTTGATTGGGTACCATTACCAATAATGTATCCGCAATTAATTGTCTTAGCTGTTCATACATATTTCCTCGTTGGTGCTATTGCCCGACAATATATTATAAGTGATAATGCACGAAATAAATCAGCGGTTAATATCTTTTAATTGTAATTTAATTTTAAAATTAATTTTTGACATAAAAAAAAGATTAAATTTCTAATTTTCTAATTTTATTATCAGAATATTTAAATAATTATTTACTCGAAGAGATAATTCTCATTTTAATTCGAATAAAAGGAATGATAAGCCCTCTTTCAACACTATTCATATTTTTCAAGTATTTTTAGCATCATAACTGTTTGTTTATTTAATTACAGTAAACTTGCCGGTAACAGGCCCATTTGTAAGTCGGATGCAGCCAAGCAACAGCCTTCCAAGACAGGCCTACAAGTGAGGGTCATGAAATCCTTTCATAAAATCCTGCAGCAAATTCTGCGCTTACAACATCTTCGCCAACATATTGCTTTACTAATCATTTGCCAACTGATAAAACCAAAATTTTATTTCCTCTTTTTCGTTTCCTTTTTTGTACGGAACCATTAAAAATATTCCGTTACAGATGGATATATACCTTCCGGTTATGACAATCATTCAGTTTATCTTTTATATGGGATGGCTAAAAGTAGCAGAAGCAATGTTGAACCCATTTGGTGAAGATGATGATGATTTTGAGTGCAATTTCCTTCTCGACAAAAATCTTAGTGTTATTTTTCTTTTTCTTTTTTTTTTTTTTTTTTGAATATCTTATATATCAGCTATATATAAAACTGGCAAAATAAATAAGGCCGGAAACCGGAATGGATAATTTAAAATGATTTGAAATACCGATATTTAAATGGTCAATAATGTTGTCTTGATAAATAACATTACTTACTAATTTAGGTAGGTTTGACAATTGTTGATGATGGATGCAGTAGAACACCAGCATTACTTAAAGATGTTTTCTGGAGCGAAACCGAAATAGAGCCATTGTATTCAGCCGAATCAGCTCGTGGTGAATATCGGCTTTCCGGTTTAACTGGTTCAACTGCAAACGTTCGGTAATATAGATTTTATTCTTTTTTTTTTCCCATTAAATTTCTTTGTAAATGTTATCTTCTAAATGAATTTAAAATTTTAAAAGAAATTGAAAAACTTTTTATCTCTATAGGTTTTGTTCCTTTTTAATGATTTATTAATACTACTATTACATGGAAATTTTTTCAGGTTAACTGATCAGAAGAGCAAAATTAAAATGTTACCATTATCACGAGAATTAGATAATCATTATTCAATTTCGGGATTATTACGAAGCTCAGTGCGACACAGTTTACGTGGCGGAAGGTAGGAAAAAATGATAATTACTTAAAAAAAAAAATTGATATAATGTAGCTAACTATATACTATTAAGCAATAACAGATGAAAAACTTTTTTCCATTAAATGATAAAGCAGAATATTTTCAAAAATTTGCGTTTAATTAATTAAATCCACAACTGTTCTATATTAATGATAATCACGTGACAAATCTTTTCATTTTATCACTATAAAATTTTCCAACTATCCTAAAAATTGTGACATGAAACGAGAACAGATTTGAGACAAAATATGGGATAATTTTTGTTTATTTCTTCATATTCAAAAGATTTCAATTTTAGAACTGATCTTCATAGCGGTATTATGAATATTGTTCGTCAAAAATTTGCTAGGTAAGGTAATATGGAAATTCATTTGATTAATTTAAATTATTTTCAGTCTTTAAAAAATTACTGAATGTTTTGTTTGCAAAATTTTGATTTTCAATGCATTATTTCAATATGTTTACAACAAATGAATTAAATGAACGCAAAATATTATCAAGAATTCTTTATCAGCATTATTCGTTTTTTACTGATATCAATAATTATTACTGTTGATATTATTCTTTTCCTTGTGTTTACAACAAATTAATAAATGAACGTGAAATTATTTATCAATTCTTTATCAGTGATATCTGTCATTTACTGATGATACTAGCAGTTCTTGTTATACACAATTGTTTTATCATATACATTATATTAAAAGGTTAAATTCTAGATCATTAAGTCATACACATTTTAATACGAGCCAAAATGGTGATGAATGTGGTAGCAAAACGAATCAAAATGTTGACGAATTATCAGGCTTAGAAAAAGGTTGTTCAAAACGGATGAGTAACAGTGAGAGTCGCCGAAGTAGTTTAAATCGTGTTCTAGAAACTATTATCAATGAATCATATGACAATCCTAATGTTAATTTATCAGGTAAGTGAATTTTTTCCGGTATAAAATGAAAAAAAATACAAAAGGAATCATTTTTAAAATTTATTCTCAGTGTTAAACTTTAACATTATTTCGAAGAAATTGAAAACTTCAACTATGATTTAAAAAAAAAAAAGGAAGAAAAAAGGAAGGAAATAAATTTCAATTTATAAAATTATTTTTGAATATACAAATTTTCAAACTGATATTTCAATGTTTTTTTTTCTTTTTTTTTTTATCAGGCATTAGAATTATAGATGAAGATTTGCCGCTTACATTGAAACATATACCAGTAAGTATAGCTGGTGATGGTCGACATAGTGGTCATCTTACACTATCACAAACATCAATGCTACATAAACTGGAAGATCTGGTAGAAGAAACAGAAGAATCGATGAGCAGAAAAAATACCATCGAAGAAAGCGATATAAATAATATAAAATTACGGAATAATGATGTACAAATTGAAAATTTTGATGGATTATTATCATCGATATTAACTCGTCGACGAAGTGTTCCATCAAATCTTGTAAATTATGATAATGTTCAAATGACACTCCGTAGGCAGAAATCATATCCAAAGTTAACTTAACGAATATAATCATCAAATGATGTAACATTTTAAGAAATTATTTAATGTAAAAATTTGATGTTTAATTTTTTTTTTTTTTTGAGCTATAAGAACAAATTTAAACATAAATTTTTATGCAAAAATTTTTGGGATAATTTTAAGTAAATTCATCAAATTTGTTGATGGAATTTGATGAAATTGCAAACTAAATGATTTTCATGATTACATTTGTAAATTATATGATATTATTATTGTTTTTAGCACTTGTTGTATTACTTATTATTACAATTATTATATTAAAATAAATAGAAGTTAATTGGAATTTTCTTCAAATCTTACGAATAAATAATATTTTTATGGAAGTGAAAGAAAAAAGTGAAATAATTACAAAAACTGGACTAAAGGTCGGTCTTGCTTCTTGTAATTTCAAGTTTATTTAAAAAAAAAAAAAAAAAAAATGAAAAGTTATTCATTTTCAATCTTGTATTATGGAATAACAGTTATTTTAATTATTAAAAGGGAGAAAGAAAAAAGAAAAGACGGAATAATAAAATAACAATTTGACAAAGACAAAAAGAGATCAATTATTTTAGAGCTAAAATTGTAATTCAATAATTATAACAATATTAATTTATTTATTTCTATTTTTTGAAATTTTTTTTTGTATCTTTCAAATTTTTTTAACATAAATTATAGATAAATTTTAAAAAAATAGATTTTATTGAAAATCAAAGAAAAAAAAACAATTTAACATAAACAAATTATTACGAATTCATAATTATGATTAGGTATATAATTTTGATTCCTTTTTTTCTTTTAGCTTTTTTAGTTCTTTCTTTGTTTTTAAATGAAAACAAACAATGAAATGATCGATAAGATTCGTAATTGATTTATTTTTAACCTTTAACCCTAAATCTTTGATCTTTTATAAGCTGTCCGTTCTCATATCCTTTTCATTTTATATCAAATGAATTCATTCATACTTGTAAATATTTTCATACATTTTACACCGTTACCTTTAATGTGTAATTAAAGTATTTACCTTTCAGGTATGTTATCATATATTTTGCCATTATACCTTTTCAATCATCAGCTTTTCTGCATGCTTTTTTTTTTGTTTTGATTTGTTTAACTTTTTTTAGGTCTCCTTATATGTATGTTTGCATGCATGTATGTATTTATGTATGTATGTATGTATGTATATATGTGTGTATGTGTGTATGTATGTATGTATATATGTATGTGTGTATGTATGTATGTGTGCATGTGTGTATGTATATATATATATAAATATATATTTATTTATTTATAAATGTTAAAGTATTATTGACATAATTTGTTAACTTTGTATGTAGTTAACAAACTTTTTTTTTCTTCTTTTCATTCTTTTGCTCAATAACAAATATTATTTTCAAGAAATCGTTTTTCTTTTTATTCGTTTAACCCAAAAGATCAATTCCAAAGATCAATTCATAAGATTGATTCTAGGAATCAAAAAATTTCATTTGTTCTATTTTCTACAATAACAAGTTTTTTTTTTATTTTTATTTTTTTTCCAATAATAGTTTTACAAGTAAAGTATGATTTGAAATTATTCGAAACAAAATTATAATTAATCTTTTCTTGAAAAAAAGTTTCGAAATCAAAATCAAAAAGTCTAATTTTTTTTTCAATTTATTCTGAAAATTTACAATTGAAAATTTTAAATTGAAAATAGAAAAAAAGCTTAAAAAAAAGGAATTTCAAAAAATTTTTTCGTTTATTTAATTTATTTAAAGGAATAATGACAGTAAAATACAATTTGGATGTATCAACATCACGACCATGGACGTTATTCAAATTATTATTTCGTTGGCGTGGAAGTGTATGGAAATCGGTGACATTTGAACTTGTCATTTGGTTATTACTTTATTTTACCATTGGTATTATTTATCGCAAATTATTATCACCACACCAAATCAGGCATGATTTAATTAATTACTACCATTTGTGTATTATCTTGAGTGTATTGCGAAAAAAAAAAATTTGCATCCTAAAAAAAAAAAAGAAACGAAAACTCTTTTATTGAAATTCATTTCATTAGAATTGAACTAATAAAACCAAATTTGATTGTAATTCTTACAAAATTTGTTTTTTTTTAATCATAAAATTCAAACTATAAATTTTGTTGCATTAAAATTGAATTCGATTGAATCAAATTCAAAAAAAAAAGTTTCGTAAGTGTCAAATAAATTGAAAGCAAAATCGAACGTGTTTTTTGTTTACCAATGCAAAATACATTTGTTTATAATAGATTAATTACAGAATAAATAATAACATAACATATGTATAATTAAGTGCTTTTTCACATATAATCCATTTCAAGAAATAAATAAATAAACAAACAAATAAGTAAATAAATAAATAAATAAACAAACAAATAAACAAATAAATAAATGAATAAACACAGCAATTTTCTTAATTATTTCGTTCCATTTTATAGTAATTATTTCAATAAATTTTTAATGATAATTTTGTAGAGATTTCGAAAGAATTGCACATTTATTGGATGAAAAATTGAATCTTATACCACTTGATTTCATTCTTGGCTTTTTTGTCACATCTGTCCTAAATCGATGGCTTAAATTCTTTAACAATATTGGTTACATTGATAAGTTTGTGCTATTCTTTCTTTTTTTCTTTTTGTTTTTTTTTATGATTTTCTACACTTTACGCTAATTTTTCCAACATTTAAATGTAACTTTACATCAAAAGTATTATTTCATTAAATATAAGAAATTGATTGATTTTAAAATATTTTTAACTATTTTAATTAATTCCAAAAAAAAAAATGAAGTTCTTTGTTTATTATTTGAATGTTATTTATAGTATAGCATTGATGACAGCAGCTTATGTACGTGGTGATGATGAAAGGTCACGGAAAATGCGTCGTAACATTGTTCGTTATTGTGTCTTATCACAAGCACTTGTTTTTCGTGATATTAGCATGAAAGTACGAAAACGTTTTCCAACATTAGATTCTGTTGTTGCTGGAGGTTTGTTTAAAGAAGTTAAATTTAAATATTTTTTTTTTATTTTTTAAATTCTAAACTTAATAAATTCATCATCAATTTAATG